ACCAACGTGCAGCTCTGATTCTTTTTCATGGACCAAACATGTGGAAATTATTTTTGATAATGGGTGGCGTGAGACTCGAATCCAGTACCTCTGCCTGCTCTTTTTGAGAACCATGTTAAAGTGTGTGACCATCTCATTTAAAAGTTTAAGCTGTTAGACAGAACACGCTTTTATTTACTCAATTATGTCTTAAACAGAAATTCCTCTACGAAGATCTCCAGACTTTCTTTGTTTTAGAAGTTGCAATAATCCTACTCGCTTTTCCCTTTGTTAAGTTTCCAGTCTAGTTTAGAGCTAGAAGCCAACTAAAAACTCTTATACTGGTGCAATGAAAGTAACGATGATTATCATGCTCCTGTCCCTTGATATATGATAGGTCTAACTTACATCATCAAGCTCCTATGTCTGACAATTTTTCACATCATCAGAGAACTGATCACTCTGCAGTGACTCCAAGTTCCTTTCTTTTAATAATTTTTGAAAGTTATTTAGTTAACTCCTAATCGTGGAAGAACTCCTTTGACTAGACCTTAACGCCTAAATTCTCCACAGATGTTCGGATGACATTTTTGTTCACCATACAGCTCAAATGTCGGATTGACGATCCATAAGCTGACACCAACTAATCTGGGAGTGAGGTGTTATTGATTGATTGATATGGTCCTAATGTAGTTTCCTTCACAATGTATGAGCTGGGATGGAAAGTTCCACTCCAAAATTTACCTTACGAAAAACATTCATATCTAACTTTAAAATAACATAATATCCACCAGTACAGTATGTCAAGAGATACCTGGTCAGGAAAGTCTCGGTTCAAATCGATATTGTTCGCATTTCCACGCCTCCTCAATGAAAACCCATCTGGATTCATTGATGGGAGTATGTGAAGATGAACATTGTCTACAATCAGGGTAGCCTGTACAAGCCACAATAAAAAAAATTGAATTTCGAAACTATGACAAGAAAAATATGAAAATATCTTTTCTGCATCATACTAGGATAAAGAAAAGGTTTTATTAAGAATAAATTTAGTTCAAAAGAAGAGTTATTTAACCCAATACCACAATGTTGTTTAAGACAACATGAATCCTGGCTGTATTTGGTGGACAGAAAGAAATTCAAGATGGTTTGAGGACAATCCGATTCTACTCAGAGATGAAGTCGAGCTGCAATTTTTTTGTCTTTTGGTGTTAAAGGGACCCTGTGAATGAGGCCGAATCAGTTTTAGATCGCATAGAATACCCTCGAAGAATAGAAGAGGGATATACTTTTGGTTTTACTTCCATCTGTACAGCNATGGCAAGTGAATTGGTTGCTCGACAACCAATGCTTCAACATTGGCCAAGGAACACAATGAATAGTGTAAAACTTACTATCTTTCCTTGTTCATTTCAACCTCTAATATTCAAATGTTTTGAAGAAGAATTATTTTTTTTTTAAAGAAGAACATTCATATATTTGGTAAAGATTGACTTTTTCCTCCAAAGTATGTAAAAATTGTTCGGATGCTTTCTTACTTGGATATCTTTTCAGTAGAGAAATTTCCTAAGATTAGAAACATATCCAAACAAGAACAAACAGCTTTTACAGGGTTGAGAGCAAAAAATTCTTGAAGGTTCCTGTAAAATAAAATCCAGTAGAGCCAGAAGACTTTCATTCTTTAGAAGGAATTCCAAATTCATGCCATGTAGATACTAAATAGTAATTTTGACAAATGGCAAGTGAATTGGTTGCTCGACAACCAATGCTTCAACATTGGCCAAGGAACACAATGAATAGTGTAAAACTTACTATCTTTCCTTGTTCATTTCAACCTCTAATATTCAAATGTTT